TATTCTTGGCATTTTTCCCTCAACGCGACTTTTGGGGTACTGACCCACTGTTACTATTTTTTGACGTGGAAGGATTTTGGGTTTTTTTTCCCCCCTAAAATAATCATAAAAGAATAAAAATAAATTTTTTAGTTCAATAAAATAAAATATTATATTAAGAGATTATTTAGGGTGTCCTAAAAAAGTATACTTTTTATCTTTTTTGACTACAAAATTGAAAAAAAATATATGAATATTTGGGTTAACTTTTGATTTTTTATGAAAAAATATGTATTAACAAATTGTATAAATTAGTGTGTGTACGGGGAGGAAATAATTCTCCTCGTATAATCCTGTTGACCAAGTCCACGCTCCTCCGTACGACGTCGCTTTGTCACCTGAAAACACAAACGTGAGCTAGCCGGCGGGTGTGTGCCGGAAACCTCTCCGATGCCTAAGTCAGAAATCTTGACAAATAGACAAAGCTCTAAGTTCTCAGAAAGATTGTGTTCAATTTTCTCCTCCAAGGCGATGCTTGTGAGCTTTTATAAGTTTCATATGGCACAATCCTAGTAGGACTTGTATTTCTCCATACAGAGTCCTCCTAGGATTCGTTTTTAAATTTAAAATATTAACATTTTAAATTATTTAAATTTTTTGAATATTTAAATTATTTAAATTTTTTTGTTAAAATAATTTTTTGAATATTTAAATTATTTAAATTTTTACGCTTTAAATTTTTTGAATATTTATTTTAAATTTTTGCTTATTAAATTTTTTAGATTATTTACATTATTTAAATATTTAAAATAAAATTACAATTAAAATTAAAATTAAAATTAAATTAAAATTAAATATTTAAAATTAAATTATTTAAATTATACAGGACAATAAAATAAAACCTCACTTTTTATCATTTCACAGAAAATGAAAAAAAAATTAAAATAAAAATAAAATAAAAAACACATGAAAAAACCATTTGCAAAAAAAAAACTTAAAATACATAAATTATTTTAAATAAAATACGCCTCATTCAAAAATATTTAGTACGAATTAAAAAATTACAAAAACGTAAATTGAAAAAAAAAAACGAACGACAAAAATACACCTCATCCAAAAAGATTAAAAAGAAAAAACAGAAATTACCATTTGCCATGTAATTTACAAATAAATAAAACACATGAAAACCCATTTTTGAAATATAAAAACAAATTAATGTGTACGAATTAAAAAATGACAAAAACGTAAATTAAAAAAAAATAACGAGAAAAATACGCCTCATTCAAAAATATATAAAAAAAAAACATAAAAACATAAATTATCATTCGCCACGTAATTTACAAATAAATGAAACACATAAATAAAAAAACTGTTATTGTATACCAATAAAAATAAATAAGACAAAAAAACGTAAATTAAAAAACAAGAACTAATTAATGTATAAAAAAATAAAAATGACAAAAACATAAATTTAAAAAAAATAAAAAATAAAGCAAAATACGGCAAATCCAAACCCAAAATAAAAAAATAAAAAAAGGAATATTTTACCAAAATACGCCAAAATAAAACCCAAAATAAAAAAAATTAAAAAATTTAAGCAAATTACGCCAAATCCAAACCCAAATTCAAAAAAAAAAAAAAAAAAGTTAGCAAAAAAAGCCAAATCCAAACCGAAAAAAAAAAGAAAAAAAAAAACAACAACAACAAGGGCACTTTGGTAAATGAACATGAAGACACCTCACCAAAAAGCCAAAAAGTCAAAAAAACCAAAAATTTCTTCCCAAACCAGACTTTTTAGCCCCAGGCTAAAATAGTCAAAAAGTCAAAAAGCCAACCCACTTCCCAAACGGAGGCTAAATAGCTCCACTTCTATCATAATCTCATTCCACTCTCTATACCCAAAACAAACGGGGCCTTACCTATCACAACCACCGCAACACCTTTAGCGCATCCACCAAAAACTCACGTTTGGTGTAAGTGGCAATTATGCACACTTGCATTGAGCACAAGCATTTCTTGTACACAAATTTATTTTGCAAGAATGAGATTGGGGCTTTTGTGTTCAAGCGTGAAAAAGGCTGTGGTGGCTAGAGATTGGTTGGATGGGGTAAAAAAAATTTGTTTGGGAGAATTAATTTGGTTCCACCAATTTACTCCTAATAACATGAAACAGACTATGTAAAGGAGTGTGCCTATTCTCTCTCTATCTCTCTATTCCATATCATTAGGGATAGATTAAGAGTGTTATAATGATGAGATGTAACATGGTTGAGGTAAAAAAATTGGTAGAGTAGTACAATGATAGTAGTAATTATGGCAGGAAAAAGTAGGAAGATGAACATAGACGAAAACGATGTGAGAAAATTTAAAAATAACAGGGAGATGTATAATAGTGATTGTTGATACCCAAAGTTATACGAAAAGAGAGAAAAAATAGTAGACAGAAAAAGGACATATTAGTAAATTTTAAAAAAGAAACTTTTTTATCCAAAATTCTATTAATAAAATAATTTTTGTGTGTTTGAAAATATTTTTAAACTTCCTATGCGGATTGCAATAGTTTTTAATTGTCTCATTTTTGGAAAAATTGCAAAGAAGTTGAATAGATGATTTTTTTTATTATGCAACTCTGACACACAGTGAGAACTTACACCAAGAACATAAAGAATTTGCATCATGTACAAAATAAAGTTGCATCACCTTAAAAATGTAAATAATATTTCACTGTCTCACTAATTTGCAATTTCCCTCTCATTCCTTTGCACTATCTTTTAGAGTGTGTTTGATTGGACGGATTGGATAAGAGGAGATTAGAATCTATCGGACTTAAGTCTTGGGACTATGAATCCTCCGGACTATTTAGTTGGATTAGATATGTATGTTTGTTTTTTCATGGGATTAGATGTCTGGAAAAGACTATTTTTAGTGAATCAACGTTTGGTTGGACGGACTGGATAGAATAAATGAACAAAAGACTATTTTACCCTTTTTCAATTATTTACTAAGTAAGAGCAATATTAAACATATCTTTAATATTTTAATTATTTTTAGCTAGATTAAATAAAAATTTATTTTATTTTATTTTTTACACAATTAAATAAATAAATAACCACTAAATTTGATTTAATAAAATACTGTATAACCTGTATAAAAAATTTATATTATTTTTTTAATTAAAATTTTAAATAAATTTGTTTTTAAAAATAATAATAATTAAACAATGAAATTAAATAAAACATCTATTAACATTTAAATAATGAAATTAAATAAAATATAAACAAAATTTCAAAATAAATAACAATAAAATATCTATAAAAAATTATTTAAAATAAATAAATAAAACATCAATAAAAAGTTAAATAAAATTATTTTATTTTTAAATTGAGACATTTAAATTTTATTGAATTTTACTAAATATAATACATAATTAAATAGTAGAGGGTCAAAATGATCATTTCACCACCTAATCCCAACAGTAAATAATTCTCCCAGAATTGTCCCACACCCCCCCTCAAGGATAGTATAATTCCCCATATAGGGGATAAGGAGTCCGGCCGGACTCCATGTCCGGCAGACTAAAAAAAAAACAAATATCGGATTGAATTTATTGTGCGGATTACAATCCGCACAGTAAATAATCTTCCCTCTTATCCCTCCAATCAAACACACCCTTAGATTTTAAAATTTTCCTTATACAAAAAATATACTCTTATTTTGGGGCCGTTTGGAAACTTAGCCTCTGTTTGGGAAGTGGGTTGGCTTTTTGGCTTTTTTGGCTATTTTAGCCTGGGCTTAAAAGCTTGGTTTGGGAAGGGCTTTTTGGCTTTTTTGAGTTTTTTTGTGAGAGAAGAATGTAATGATTATGGGTTGGATGTGGTGTTTTGTTTGTTACGGCTAAAATAGCCTATTTTGTTTTTTGTGGATAAAATAGTCAAAAAAGCCCAAACCATGGCTTCCCAAACGAAGCCTTAGGTTTGTGTTGACTAAAATAATAAATAAAGACTAAGGCCGGTTTGGGGACTTACTTTTTTAGCCAATTAGCCAAAAAGTTACTAAATTAGCCAAAAAGCCAACAACTCATACCAAAAAGTCAAAGATTTTTTTTTCTCTCTACTTTTTGCACATCTTTTTGTAAGTAGCCAAAAAGTCATCCCAAACATAAGACACTAAACAGCCGAGTTCGGGGATCCTGAGGCAAGGCGCGCGAGCCGAGGCCTCCGGGAACTCCAAACGAACACAATCATGGATGATCACCGAGTGTTCAAACGGTGACGTCCAAGTCTTGAGGACGGTCAAAAATGGGGTGTCTACATCATCCCAAACATACAAGTTTTTTTTACCTACCTTTTTAGCCAAATAGCCAAAAAGTTACTAAATTAGCCTGTTCCCAAACGAGGCCTAAGATAAAATATTACATCAAAATTATAACTATTTCATTTTTTCTCTCATAACTATCAAATCAATTACAAAAAAAATCAACTATCATTAAAATCAATAATGATTCATCCCACTAAAAACATCACCACTAATAGCACTAATGCATTAAAAAAAAAAAAAATACAACTCCAAGACCAAAACATCACATCATTAATGACGGGACCCACTGCCACCTAATTAGTGGGAGCACTAATTAGTGCTCCCAAGCATTTTTCCATTAAAATACCCAAATAGTTAAAAAACTAAGTCTCCGTTTGGGAAGTGGGTGGACTTTTTGACTATTTTAGCCTGGGTTAAAAAACTTGGTTTGGGAATGATTTTTTTACTTTTTTTGTGAGAGAAGAGTGTAATGATTATGAGTTTGATGTAATATTTTATTTTTTTGTGACTAAAATAACATATTTTGTCTTTTGAGACAAAATAGTCATTTTAGACCTTTCCAAACAATGCCAAATAGGTTCTAAAGGGGCCAGACTGGTATTTGTGGAAAATAACGGGGACAGTTTACTAAAGTGGTAAAAAATTTGAAATCCCAAGAAAGTGTTTTTGTTTTTAATTTTCCCACCCAAAGTAGCCGCCAATTTGCTTTTCCACATTCAATTCAAACGACCAAGTAAAAATATTGAAAAACCACAGAGCTGAAAGAGAGAGAGAGAGAGAGTTAAAACAAAATTATTTTCCACCAGTTGAATTCATCGTCTCTCCACTTTCACTCTTCGTTCTCCGAACTTCTCAGGTCTCTCTGTCTCTCCTCCTACATAATACAATACATTCATTGTGTACCGTTAATTTCTTTCTCATTTTCTGATTTCCAAAAAACAGAACAAGAATTATTTCGTTTTTTTTAATATTTTTATTACTGAATTTGTTAAGGATGTGAATCGTGCGGATTTGGTTGTGAGATGCAGGTAGAAAAAATGGCAGGAAAAGGTGGAAAGGGGCTTTTGGCCGGAAAGACCACAGCGGCGGCTGTGGCTGCCAAGGAGAAGGACAAGAAACGGCCTGTTTCCCGCTCATCCCGAGCCGGTCTCCAGGTAAACCATTTATATATACTTTCTATACTATTATATAAAGCGTACATTGCACTTGATATGAATACAAACAAAATGTCACATGTTTCGTTTTCTCAAAATGTCATGTATCTGTAATTGTCAATTTTAAGCACATTTGTATAGGTATGCACACCTTTATATATATATATATATATATATAGACTATTAAATCAAGCCTACTCTGAAATTGGTATGAACACAAAATGTCACAATTTTTTGCTTTCCCAAAGTGCCCTTATTTAATTGTAAATTCAACGACTCCCATAGATCTATAACTACTGATTTCCTTCTAGTATATATAAAAACATAATTTGTGGGCTTTAAGATTAGTACTACTGTTGTGTGTTAAAATATGAGCTCTCAATTATGGACCAAGAGTTCTTTGTTGATCTCTTATGTGCTTATTCTACTAGTCCGATTATATATTGCATACTAGTGTTCCAATTTCTGTTTTTGGCTCAACACGTCCATATGGAAATTGCTTGAGCAGATAAACTTCTGTACGCTGTGCTGTGGTATTAAATCGAGGCAGAATTTATTGCAGCATTTTGTAACAAGCAAAACTAAAAAAAAAAAACAGGAAGAAAATTGAGGAAAATTGTTTGGAGTGTTTGAGATTAAGTCTTAGGCCCATGAATGGTGCAATAAATTCACAAATATCTAGATTGGAGAGTAGATGCCATGTGATATCTTCCTATGTTGTGATTGGCTTGACAATGGGGTCCATTGCATTTATGTTGAGTGTTTCGGAGATAACAGACGTGCATGCATTTGTAGTTGGTGCAAGGTATCGCATGGAAGTGCCACTTGTTACCCTCTCAATATGCAATAATTTTCTGTAAGCATGAGTGCAAATGGGGTGAATTCCCTTCCCTTCCCTCCCTCCCCCCTTTTAAATCCACGTATTTTTCAACATAAATCCCAAATTCAGGATATTGTAAACATATTTTTCAAATGTGTGTTGTTTTGTGAAGTTGTGAGACAGAAACACAACTTACATTTTAGACTTGAAGTTGTGTTTTTGACATATGACTTTATTCAAGTTGTGTTTCCAAGCCATGATTTCAATAAATTTATTGCACAACTCATTGAAGTTGAGTTTGCCTTGGCTTGAAGCCCACTCAAGATTTACAGTGTTTGAGATTATATTTTAGGCTATAATAGTGTATTAAGAGGCGCGCCTAAGTGTGTGCTTAGATGTGAGGTGCACATGAGGTGCCTTAGATAGCTTGAGGTGAGACACAGTAGGAAAGGCGCATTTAAGGCGTGCGCCTTAGGCTTAGGTGTGAGGTGCACGTCTCATGCACTTCATTTAAATTTTTACTCCATCCTTATTCTTTGTGTGTAACCATATGGAATTATAACCATTTTAATATAAAATGTAAACACATGCTTTGAGCCTCAATTTTCATATCAAAAAAAGCTCTAACATTAAGCAAAAGCTCTGGGATTGCAAGATGGATATATGGTTTTGGGATTCCTTTCAATGTAGTAAATTACAACAGTTGTGGGCTAATGAAGCTATTAGCTAATTTGGTCTCGATTTAAAATTAAAACCATAGAGGTATTATATGGTGTGAGTTCCACATCTAAAAAAAGAAATGAATCACATTAATGAATTGATAAAGAAAGATGAATAGTATAGGGGAAAGTAAGATTGAATGCTATTTTTGAGAAATTTTTGAAACGTTAAATGTTATTTTTCATGATTTTTGAAATATTGAATGCCGTTCTATTTATATATTTACTTATTTATTGAAATTCTAAAACTATTTGTTTTATGTTAAAAACTTTGCCTATATTAATATTTTGGTTATCTTCAACAACTTGCGCCTCGCCTTGCATCTCGTGCTTAAGCTTTAGAAAACCTTAGCGTCTTAATGTGCTTGGAACTTTTTAAAACACTAGGCTATAAGGGCCAGGCTGGTCAATTTTTTAAGCCTGTTTATAGTTGTTGGTGGGCCTGGAAGAATGTATGAAGACCTGCCCAGTCACTCAGACTGTAAATTTTATGTATATAGCATTTATACATTTATATAGTCTGTACTATTTAATTTGTTGTTGGAAATGAAAAATATCTTGCAAAAGAATTAATTACAGATTTGAGCTTGTAACCTTGATCTTATAAGAAACCACTGCCACATGGTTTCATTCTAAATTGAACACTGTCAACGAATTTCCTTTTTAACGTTTGATCTCCATTTGGTTAGTTGTAAATTTAACCAAAATGTGCAATTCATGTTATGGTATACCATGTTTTGATTATGCAAATAGATACTGCTGGCACTGAGTGTCTACAAAATGTAGTGATCGTTTTTATTTGTCAAGAATTTCCAAAATTCTTGCAATTTAATGGCCATATGGCAGTGCGACTGGTCTCAGATGTCAGTCTCTGGTTCCTTCCTCATCTCCCTTTGTTATCTGCCTTGTCAGTGATCCTTGGCTTTGGGCTTAGCTTGATGTTTTTTCTGTAACTGTTTTTACACAATCAAAAGAATTGGTTTATTTATTTATTCTATTTTTGGGCAAATTACATATACACCCCTCCAGGTTTGACAAAATTACAGATACCCCCCTGAGGTTTGAGAAATTACGAATTCCCCCCTGAATGCTATATTTGCATAAGAAATTAGGGGGTAATTTGTTATGAAATATAAACCTCAGGGGGTAAATTGTTATGAAAATACAAACCTCAGGGGGCGGGATGTAATTTCCGAAACCTCAGGGGGGTATCTGTAATTTAACCAAACCTCGAAGGGTGTATGTGTAATTTGCCCTACTTATTTAAATTGCGAATCGCATACCTTTTTTTCTCTAAAAAGATGCTTCATGGTACTAGTATAGAGTTGGCAAATTTTATCAAAAATTTATAATATGGTTGACCGGTGATCCATTGAGGGCAAGGTGGTAGTATATACACGTGTGGTAATTTGGATTCAAAAACTCTTCGTCCATAACTCCTTTTTCTTACAAAATTTGAATACACTAAGGATCCAAACTTAATTCTCTAACTTGAATCTTATGTGCACATAAAAATTATCTTGTCTTCCTTATGCGGGGCAAGTATATATCACCAATGTGTAGGATATCTACCAAAATTTCATTTCAAAACTTATTTTATATTCAATTTTCAATTCACTCATAAAATTGTTTTGTCAAACCAATTACATATAGTGTTATTTATCACACGGCATAGAACACATTATCACTTGGACCGGCTAAAAATAGTGAGTAAGACCCACTTGTAATTTAGCTCAAAATTGCTAAAATTATGATTTTCATAGAGACATAACAAACTTTAAAAAAATTGAGCATTTTTTAACTACAGAAATACTTATAAAAATAAATTACAACAATTTCAAATTTCTCCTTGGAACACTCGTTAATACAATACAATAATTTTAATGCTTTTGTTTGTAAATCCCAAGTCTTCTCGTTAAACGATGACAAATATGCTCTTCATCTTGAGATTTCTTGAATTAAAATTATAAAATAATTTAAACAAATTGGAGGAAAAATACCAATTTGTACTTGATACATTTATTATGTACAAAGTATCACTACAAGAAAACAGGACAAACAACGCGGAGCTTTTTGCGACGGTGTAGTTGCCGTCGCCAAAAATGACGTTTTGCCACAGTAGTGACCCCGTCGTAAATGAATGTTCAAGAAAAATATTGGAACATTTGCAACACCTGGTGTACCGTCGCAAAAAAAAAAAAAAAATTGAGATGGGAAAAAGTTACTATCGCAAATAGTGGACAATTTGTGATGGTAAAAGTCCATCGCAAACTAAGTCTTGTTAAAACAGCGTCGTTTTATTTGTTAATATTTATCATTTGTGACGGTTTAAATATGTCGTCGCAAAAAGTAAAAATTTCTGTCCCACTCATTTTATCCCATTCGCGGTCAAGTTTTCCCCAAAATCCCTAAAAAGCTTTCTAAAATCAAAATCCCCAAAATCCCTAAAAGCTTTCTGAAAATTTTGCTTTTACAAAAAAATAACCTCTGTGGTTCTAACATTGCCATACATTGAAGAGGGTGAACGAGGGTGAACGACGACGAGGGTGAACATTAAGTAAGCAGCGAGTGACGAGGGTGAACGACGACGAGGAGGAGTAGCAGCGAGTAACGGCTAGCAACGAACAACGGCCTTCGCAATCCCTTCCACTCTCAACTCCCTCCTCCTTCCATCTCCTCCACCAGATCTCACTCCCGCCGGAGTTTCCTTATCAGAGCTATAAGTGCTCTATGTTTATTTATTTACAAAATCTCATTTTTATTTTGGCTAGTGTTTACTTTTTGTAGTTTTTCCTATATCTATAAATTTTCTATGCGTATACATGTCTCAGTTTCATTCTGGGTACATTGTTGACATTGACTCTAGAAATTCGTGTTTAATCAAGCTAATTGTCATAAAGTTAAGGGTTTTTAGAATTTATCAAAAGCACATATTTTTAGTTATATATAAACTTAATTGCAGCTAGTTGTTTCTTTTGTTTCTTTTTTTCTTTTTATAAATATAGTGAAGTTAATGATTTTCAAGGAATTGAAATTGGGTCTTCAAGTTGTTGTTATTCTTTGTAATATTGGATTTTTGTGGTTGTTGTTAAACTAGTTCTCGTAATGCTGAAATCGGAATGACACAGTATAGTGTTTTCTTGTTTCCATAATAATCCTTTAATATGGTGAAATTAATTATTTTCAAGGTATTAAAAATGGGTCTTCAAGTTTCTGTTGTGATATTGGATTTTTTTGTGGTTGTTTTTGTTTTGACATTATTTTCATAATGTCAAAATCGGATGAAACAGTATATTATTTTTGCATTTTGACTGAGCCTTCTCTTCATGATACCCTGAAAAAGTTTCTAATATTGTTATCCTGTCTGTTTCAGCTATATATGTGATGTTATATTTTGACATTTTAACAATATTAGTTCATAATTGCTTATTACAACAATCAGAAGACCTATTTGGTCTCTC